TGAAGCTCGCAAATAGTTTGAATCCACATTGAATTAACTTAATAGTGCTATCCATATCTTCTTCTAGTGCAGGTTTAGTCTTTCTTTTAGCATCAGCACTATTGAATAGAATAGCAGAAATCTAGAATATTTTTGTCTAAAAAATATCAAGCTTATATCGTAACTGAATTGTGACATTGGCGATCTAAATCTGTCTCATACTCGTCTTAATCGTATTTTCGTTTTTACTAAATGTTTAATTGTAGTGGAATTATTATCACATTTCCCAGTGACTTGTTGAACCTAGAGATAGACGTAGCCTGTTTATTTACCAATATTAGTGTAGAATTAAATTCTTCAAAGTTGTCTCAATATCAGTTTTATAAATAAAGATTTAATATATGTCGGTGTGGCTATTGACAAACTGGCGTTACTTGAATATGTGCAAAAATCTGATGCTAGAAGATATTTTTTGTTATTCCGAATTTATAGAGTCCGGACTTTTTTGTATATTAAATGGAAATAAGTTGATTGACCTATGGATACAAACCCAAATAGCAGCAGCGAGTTTGAGAAGAACCTCAGTAAGTATATTTGACATTATTATCCCCGGCAGATATTGTCTTTTTACCCAGTAAATTATAGAATTCAATATATTGAGCTTCAAATATTGGGCTTCAAATTATGTGTTTTTACACGTAACTTGAAGGTGGGAGCAGTATATTCCTCTAATGCATGATGTTTATTACTGACTTTCATTAACACATCCTGGTTACTAAAGTAAGGTTTAAATTTTGGAATAGGAAAATTGTGTTTACTTGGCGGATGTAATTCCGTAAATAATAGGACATCAATATTTTAGTCTGTTAAAAAATTTATGATTCAAGTTTGTGCTGGCGGAGGTCATTACAGTTCCACTGGTAGGTCCTTGTGGAATATAATTTTTTGTTGAAATAAATTGCATTATTCAATTTTATATTTCCACAATTTCTCGTATTAAGACTTGCATGGAGTACATAAGATTGTTATTAATTGACAATCTGTGTACCCGTAACTTTAACTCTTTGTTGATTATTTTTCTTTGATTCTGGAGTTGTTTCCTTTTGAAACGATTTTAGTTACATTGCCATATGATAGAACAGGGTATATTTCGTTAGAATCAGATTATTATAACAAGTTGGAGTGTACTAAGCATTACGTAGCAGTGTTGGGTCATCGTCGGCGTTTTTAGCATGTAGACTTGTTTTATGTTAAAGCTCTGCATATATTGTACAAACATAGTAATGTGGAGTGCGATTTCTGCTGCAGTTACTGCATTTCTTAGCACTTGCGTTAGTTCTGTAAGCATCATACTATACCAGGAATTTAGCTTTAAGTTCAATTCAGTAAAAATATGTTAAAATAGCGAACAAAACAAGAAGCAATGTGCTCACATGTCGACCTACGCTGAAGAGAAGAGGATATGTTCTGAAGAGAAGACAGCAACTATTAAAACTTGTGCACAACTTATTGTTCTACACAATTGCCGTACTGATGAGATACACTCTCATTGGTAGGGACGCCGACTAATTAAAGGTTTCCTTTAACGATTTTCATAGCTGTTAGTCAAAAGTGGAAGAAGAAAGCATTATCCATCTACTCTGTCGCTTTCTAGTACCCGCCAGAAGGTGCATATCTGAGATCTCCTTTTCTAAAATGTCTGTACCATATCGCGACTAAAGACATTAAAGATTTTTGTGATTCATTTAAGTCACAAATAACAATATAATTAACAAGTTGTTTTCCTGGTTTGCTCTCATAATATGGCAAAAATCTTGAATATTGCTAGCTAAAAAGATATGAGCTTTTCAAATTCCAACTTCCTTTCAAATTTCATGTGAAAGCAAGACATTGCATCAGTAGCTTAACGATCTCAAACAAACTATATTTGTAAAAATGAATATCATTATACAATATATAATATAATTTTAGGTGTGAAAAAATAAAAGATATGCGTTTAATCAATTGATTTCATTTAAGTAAAATATTAAAAGTGTTTTCTATTTCAGTTTCACTCTATATTGAAAATTTTTCGCAATATTGACCAAAATCAAGAGATGTAAGAAAAGACAAAAAACATAGCATTATTTTCGATATTTCCATTTTTAGAAAAATAAAAAATTGATAAAAATATACATAAATTGATACAGTTATAATCTCATTTTTGGACTATAGGTAACATCCCTGACACCAATTATCAGCCATACTAGGTGATATTTTGTTTTATCAAACATAAGCACTGTTGCCTAGCAAAAAACTAGACCTAGATTGCAAAAATAAATTACAATTAGAAACCGATTTCAGTTGATTTTTTAATACATACTCGTACTTGCTACTAAATTGGTTAACTGTACTTTTTTTAGATTAAATATATTACATATGTATTTATATTTATTTTTATATTTTTTATATTTTTTATATTTTTTATATTTTATTTATATTTGAACGACAAAACTGGGTGACTGGGTGATGACTTAGTCATGCATGTAAAAAATTGAAAAATTTATCAAGAAATTTTACAAATATAGCTTTAAAGACTATTTTTATTATTTTATCTGGAATTTACAAGAAATGTAAAGAAAGATTTTCAAATATTTTATTAAAATATTTATGGATAAATGCCTTAGCATAAAATTATAAATTCAAATGAAAATTTGTAATGAACCTTTTTATCAGCCGAGGTTTTGCTCGCCGGATCCCAGAGTCGTTACAAGAATATTTCTTATAACCCTGAATCTTTCGAATAATAATTTTAAAGCCGGTTAATTGTTCTTTTAATTTCTTTATTTATTTTTTCCCGAAATTAATTTTTACAATATTTATAACTTATTTACTAACAATATGTATTATAATTACGAATATTAAGAATTATTATAATTCCTGAAATAATAAAAAAATTCTAACCAATGGTGGATTTGGAACCAACACTACCGACAAGGCTGCGTTGTTAAAGAGTCAGTGTTACCGACTGGGCTACACTGGTGGACTAGGAAAAATGTTAATAAATATTTTTAGTTACCTGATTGTACACTTGCTCTGGTTCTGCCAAGTGTTCTGCTTCGTGGCCTGTCATTTAGTGAGTCTCTGTTGAATAATTCCTCTTTTATATATATTCCGGAAAACGGGACTTCTAATTGCTGAATGCACATTGTACAGCTTTCTTCTGAGTTGTTATTGCCGATTCTAAATGTCTGCGGCTGGTATGTTTACTGTTGCTGCACATTTGTTAAAATTTTACAAAATAGTTACACTCAAACAAAAAGAAGTGTTATTACTTAATTTATATTTTAAAAGGAATTGCATTTTTCTTTTTTTAATTTGTATTTAATTAATACTAACTTAATAATACTGATTTTACATGCTAACTTAATAATACCTTAATTTTAAACTTATTAATACCTTAATTTTTATTACTACCTTATACTAACATTTTATTTTATGTTCATCTTAACTAATAATAAACAAATTATTTTTAACAAAAAAAAATAACTTAATTCTATTGTTATATATATTTTATTTTGTATTTTTATTGCTATTTTTTCTAGTTTTACCTTAATCATAATAGTTATGCATAGTGCATTATATATTTTGTTATTATTTGTGATGAGATGGAAAAACTCGTCACAAATTAGAGAATTAGTTCAATTCTAGTAACGAGCGCGGACGCCTCGCATTGCACGTCTCGCTAACATAATAAGTGCCAAGTAGACAATTTACAAAAATCTGATTAATACATGAAATGATAACTTAAAATAATAAATAAAATAAAAAAAAAAAAGCGAATAAATACATACTTACACAAATACAGAACAAAAGTTTCGTGGCAAAAAGAAAAAAGGGAATGACCGAAAAATGAAGTTTCAGATACTAATTTATCTCACCATTATTTCTTTTACATCAGCTAATGCTGGAAGACAAATTGATGCAAGATGTTTTGTATCAGATAATACTGCATCAGATACTGCTGCATCAGATAATAAAACTGAAGAGATCATAATTGCGGAACTATTCGATTCGTGCATTAAACGTTTAAATCATGGATTTCTGAACACGCTACCCTTCCGGCATTGGCTTATTAACAAAGTCCTCAGACTCCTAGAGAAAGCGGATTACAAAATATTACCATCTATAATGAATGGTATAAATAAAATAATGCAGGCACTTCCGGCAGAAGAAGGCGATGTTTATTACACTAATGAGGTGATCAGCATATACAATACCATCATGACGAAAGGTCCAAGTATACAGCGTCAAACTGCTGAATTAAATTCCAGTAATAAGCTATCGGAAGGTTTTGAAAGATACATGGATAGCGTGTCCTCAAAACTTGTACCAACTAGTCGTTGTGGTATAGTGGCACCAAACAAAACAGCCACCAACAGCACAAACATCGCTCATAATGTGGAGACTATTGATCGAGCCCATATTGGTGTGTTTGCACAAATCTCAACGAATATCATTGCTATTCACATAAACCCTAATTGTGCCAATATTTCGGGTGTGGCCATTTATGATTATAGCACCTCAGTGCACTCAACTGTGTCACCAACCATTCTAATGCATACCACTATCGGAAAATTTCGTTTTCGGTTTGTTTATTTGAATGAATCAGCTAATGAGTTAATGCATGAAGCCGGACTTCACGTGGCAACATTTGTGCCCTTATCGCTCTGGGAATACTTACGTACAAATATCGTGCAACCAAATAAGCCAGCCACAATAGTATTGAAGATATATACGAATGATTCACTTTTCGTGGAACAAAGTGAAGTGCAGACACAAAAGCCATTCAGCAAAATATTGTCTATCTCCATTCCGGGTTATTCAGGTAACTTTAGTCTAGTTTCTCTCTAAATCATTCAATATCAATCTTTTTAATTTTATTTAGTCACGTTTCCGGAATACTTACCTTTTATTTTACGTAATGAAAATTATGGTACTGCTACTAGCTCAAACATAAGCTCCAATTGTGGTTACTGGAATTATTCAACTTGGGTTAGTCAAGGTATTGTGAAGCAAACGCAGGATAAAGCTGTTATATTGTGTGAAACAAAGAATTTAACTTCCTTTTCATTTTTGCTTGGTGGTAGCTATAGGCAACATGACTTTAATGGCAGAGTGCTTATTACTGCTGCTAATCAGCATGTTTTGGACTTAATATCATTGTTAGGCTGTACATTATCATTACTAGGCTTATTGGGTATTTGGGTTACTGCAGCGCTTTTTAAAAAGTGGCGTAAATTGGCTTCAACCAAAGTCTTGCTTAATTTGTGCGCTGCTTTAACTCTTCAAATGGTGCTTTTCATCTTTGTGAATACTGATGACATGGCTGAAGAGTTGGTCAGGGAGGGCAGCTACGCTAATTGTATGGCACTCGGTGCTTTAATGCAATACTCAATTTTGGTGTTGTTCTCATGGATGTTAATAATTGCTTTTCTGCAATTTCAACGTTACGTTACTGTGATTGGCATCGAACGTCCTCGACATTACATTTTAAAATCAGCACTAGCTGCCTGGGGTTTGCCACTTATTCCCACACTTTTAGTCTTATGCATTGATCCACATTCGTATGTACCAACAGCGTATCAACTGCGAACAGACAGCGGTGTATGTTATCCATCTGGACATGGCCTGCACTTTGGCGTCATACTGCCTGTCTCTTTGATTGTCTTGGCGAATTTAATTATTTTCATTTATGTTTTCTATAGCATTTCACACTCACTTAATCAAACGTTACAGCGACAGGAACGTAAAATGGTCGTGAAACAAATACGTCTATCTATTTTACTCTTCTTTTTGCTAGGACTCTCATGGATATTTGGGATATTTACATTCATGAAGGCCGGCATTGTGTTTGCTTATCTCTTCTGTTTGACAGCAACAATTCAAGGCTTCATTCTATTTATTTATTTTATTTTATTGGACGAATTGCCCAGAAATGCCTGGTTAAATCTCATTTTCAATGATAGAAAACCGAAGAAGGTTGTGAAATCAACCGAGCTACAGTCTATCAGTACGAATACCACCGGCACTACGAGTGATAATCAACAGAATTAAATGAACAAATTAATTTTAAGTGGAAGAAGTAATTTATTAACGTTTCTGTATGTAATTTCATATAAAATTTATATTAAATATATTTTTTTATTTTTAATCATATCAAGTCTTAATCATATTTTTACTTCATAAGCTTACAAAATTTTCTATTGTAAGAAAACTCAAACAATACATGGAGTGTTTTAATTATTGCAATTTTTATATAAAAAGAAGGATTCTAACCAATCAGTTTAGTGGAACAATTTAGTTGAGGACATTTTTATTTTTCGTATTCATAAAACATATAAATCATTTCTAATACTCCCTCTCCACTAGGTCTACCACCGTTTTTCGTGTTAGCCGTCTATATAAAGCATTCGCTTGGAATTAACAAATGAGGAATGGAGAATTTTTTCGTCACGTTGTTGATAGTTGATATGCCTACATCACGATGGAAAACACTTTTTCATAACTAGTAAAAGGGATTTTCTATACCGCACAATATTTTATTTAAAAGACTACGGATAACAGTAACATCATGTTCGTCTTTCCAGAATATCTCAGCATGACATGCCACAGGTCTTTTCCTGTATTATTATCATATAACTTCAATATGTGTAACTAAAACATAAAAAGGAATCATCCATTAAACTGGATAAGCTTGACTAAAACGATGTGTAGAAGTATTTTATATTCTAAAATTTCTATAGCTCTTTGAATTGTTGTAAAGTAACCAATGAATTTTTTATAATTTTAGCTGGTAGTGTTAAGAAAAAATATTCGCTTTCATTATAGTGGTACCATTAAAGATAATTTAGGAGCACAGATCTTGCCAGTTTTAATAACGGGTTTTGATAAGGTTGAGATGTACGTTGAGGTAAGAGCATATAATGGCTATGTCATGATGTGGAAGTCTTAACCTGAACGTTATTTTATAAGTCTGAAGGAAATAAAACTTATAGTACTTGCTCCAGAACACTGTTCTAAGGTCGAAAATAACAGAGATTTTGAGGCTTTTGTGGAGTTTTCCTCACTTCTTAAGTACGAACTATATATCTTATAATAATTTAATGTTGTAAATTAGGACTTTATGCCATACTTTGTAAAATGCTTAAACTCCATCAAGTATAATTCCAAAGCACTGTATTTTGTCTTCGAAAGCTGTACGCATTTTGTTTGTAAGGCAATTCGCTGGCTTTACAATAACATAATCTAATCAAAATCTAAATTGTTGTTGGGAAATTATATTGTTTGAGTGTAGGTAACGAGAAAGCTTTTACGGAAGTGTTTTCTCAAATAACTTTAGCAGAGTTTAAAGAAGACTTATAGGTCTATATAATATAGCCAATATAGGATTCTTACCAGGTCTTAGTATTATGATTATTAGTTATACATTTCAACTGTCTACGAAAAATTAGGTTAACTGAATATATTATTTTTGCTAAAATAAAGTCATAATCTGCAGATCTCAAAATATTAAATTTAGTTTTTATAACCTGCTGGATTTCCTTACTATAAAATCTGATAAGTTCATATATCAAAGTCAAAGGTTACAATGAAGCTCGCAAATAGTTTGAATCCACATTGAATTAACTTAATAGTGCTATCCATATCTTCTTCTAGTGCAGGTTTAGTCTTTCTTTTAGCATCAGCACTATTGAATAGAATAGCAGAAATCTAGAATATTTTTGTCTAAAAAATATCAAGCTTATATCGTAACTGAATTGTGACATTGGCGATCTAAATCTGTCTCATACTCGTCTTAATCGTATTTTCGTTTTTACTAAATGTTTAATTGTAGTGGAATTATTACCACATTTCCCAGTGACTTGTTGAACCTAGAGATAGACGTAGCCTGCTTATTTACCAATATTAGTGTAGAATTAAATTCTTCCAAAGTTGTCTCAATATCAGTTTTATAAATAAAGATTGAATATATGTCGGTGTGGCTATTGACAAAGTGACGTTACTTGAATATGTGCAGAAATCTGATGCTAGAAGATATTTTTTGTTATTCCGAATTTATAGAGTCCGGACTTTTTTGTATATTAAATGGAAATAAGTTGATTGACCTATGGATACAAACCCAAATAGCAGCAGCGAGTTTGAGAAGAACCTCAGTAAGTATATTTGACATTATTATCCCCGGCAGATATTGTCTTTTTACCCAGTAAATTATAGAATTCAATATATTGAGCTACAATTATTGGGCTTCAAATTATGTGTTCTTACACGTAACTTGAAGGTGGGAACAGTAAATTTCTCCAATGCATGATGTTTATGACTGGCTTCAATTAACACATCCTGGTTACTAAAGTAAGGTTTAAATTTTGGAATAGGAAAATTGTTTTTACTTGGCGGATGTATTTCCGAAAATAATAGGACATCAATATTTTAGTCTGTTGAAATATTTATAATTCAAGTTTGTGCTGGCGGAGGTCATTACAGTTCCACTGGTAGGTCCTTGTGGAATATAATTTTTTGTTGAAATAAATTGCATTATTCAATTTTATATTTCCACAATTTCTCGTATTGGAACTTGGATGGAGTACATAAGATTGTTATAAATTGACAATCTGTGTACCCGTAACTTTAACTCTTTGTTGATTATTTTTCTCTGATTCTGGAGTTGTTTCCTTTTGAAACGATTTTAGTTACATTGTCATATGACAGAACAGGGTATATTTCGTTAGAATCAGATTATTATATCATAAACAAGTTGGAGTGTACTAAGCATTACGTAACAGTGGTGGGTCATCGTCGGCGTTTTTAGTATATAGACTTGTTTTATGTTAAAGCTCTGCATATATTGGACAAGCATAGTAGTGTAGATTTTTGCTGCA